TCTCTCACTCCAGTCATGTGGCATTCACAGATTGCTGCTTGTACGGTTTTCAGGTTCCAGCATCCGACTTTCGCTACAGCTAAAAGGAGGGAACCGCCGTCCCGGTGCCTGGCTTACTCTAGGACTCGATGGTGATTTGGTGAGGCTTTAAGCCTCCAGCTCAGGATGTGTGTCTATGAAGGTGGGGGTTGGTAATGCTTAAAAACTAAGAAGTCATCCAATTCGACCTGAATTGTCCCTGCCCATGAGTACACAGATTTGCATGAGTCTGATTGTGTGTGGTTGTGTGTGTGTGTGTGTGTGTGTATGGGAGTGGAGAGTACATTGTTAATCCCAATCCCAAAGTTAATCTCTTTGACCCCGCCCCCACAGATAATCCAATGTCACTATATGAGGGAGGGACAAAGTAGAAACATCAGAGCTGGACCTGAAGCTAAATTGAGGGATGTAAACAACTTGAGATTTCACGTCACAAAGGTTTTTGGAACATTGCATGGTCATGAAGGGGAGCAACATAAACATTTAGAGCATGTTCTCATTGATTTGGGTGAATAATTAAAATAAAAAGGAAGCATAATTCCTTTTTCAATTTTCTGAATCAGAGCTAAGTTTTATCTACAGCTGCTAAACAGCAGTAAATCCACTTTGTCACCAAAGTTCTCAAACTTTGGAACAAAGATCACCCTGTGCTTGATTTACAAGATATTTTTCTTATTAATTATTTGCAAACTAAGTACATCTAAACTATGATGAAGAGGACAACGTGGTGATCAAACCCAAATTAACTGTATTCCAGTAGTCTGAAAGGCACTCAGGTGGGCTAATTGTCCTGTGATCACACGAACTACTACAATGGTCCCCCAGTATCCATTAGGCATAGCTGCTGACAAATAGTTAAAATTCATAAATGTCTTAATAGCTCAGACACCAAATATACCTTAATTTGCATTTATACACACAGTGGAAGCGGCGTTAGCGCAGCTGCTGAATGTAAAATCGTCAGTCTTCCATATTTCCGTACTTACGGATACAGCCAATCAGCACCAAGAAAAAACGATTGGCGCTCCTGGATTGGCTGCTTTGCAAACGCCAGCTGGTAGCATCCAGGAAGCTTTGCACCACGCAATCTCGTTCAAATATTTAAAAATATGCGCTACAAAACAGGTGCAGGCTCCAAACAGGTGAATCTGAACAGCAAATATGTGATACAGAATCATAACAATTTATGTCTCCAGTGTAAATTAATTATTATTATTATTATTATTATTATTATTATTATTAATCTGTACCGCACCTAAGAAAGTTTTATAATATCAGCTTCGTAAAACGTGGACCTTTCAGTTAATTAACTGAAAAATGTAAGCTTGTCAATATTAATGTAAAGCAGGCTTGTAGTAAGAATATTTTCTTGGTAGTTTTTGAAAAATGTTTGTATTTACCAAGGTGGTACTTGCTATAAAAAAGTTTGACATTATTAAACAGAAAGTTTTGTTTGATAAAAACTACATTATTCAGTCAGCGACGCCGTGAAGGTTGTTAGCTAAAGTAGCTATTTGATGTTTAAACGGAAAGCTAAATATTAAAACTAAAATAAATAATTGGATACATATTTCCAGTAAATGGATAAAAGTTCAGATTATTTTAAGAGCACATGCATACAACAGTAATAAAGAGACAAATGTTAATTAAATAAACATAAAGTTAGTTAAACAGCTAGCTATAAAAATCCGCTAAGATGTCAAGTTTAAAGCAAACATCTAAACTTTGATAAAGTGCTACAAGTGGATTTTTTTTAAACCAATAAATAATTTGTACATAAAAAATATTTAAAAATAACACTAGCAATAGCACAATAACACTTGAATAAAGTTGTGTGTGTATAATGGTTCATTGCTAATTGAAGAGATGTAATTACTGTATGAATAATGAGAAATATGAAGAGATAGATGTTAGATCGTATTATCCTAAATGTTAGAAGTCTTCCTATTCACCCTCTTGGTGCCTCTTTTTAGACGTAACTTTTTCCTCCTAATAACAATAATCTGCTGCATTTGAGGACTTCACGTATAATTACTAAAGCATTCAGCCAGCAGTAATCTGCCTCTCACTGTGGGCTGTGATCCTCTGCTGGCCCGTGATCTCCTGTGTCTGTTCCTGCCCTGGCCGTGACTTCATCCTCGTGCCACGTCCATACTCTCCATATGGGATTGGGATTAGAATAGCACAATAATCCTGCTGCTGTAAAAGAGAATTAGCGAACCCCGAGCTCAAACTCTGCTCTATAACTCAGCAACAAATAGCATATGGTCGGGCTTCTCGGATGCATTTCCTGCAAACGCAATGCATTTAGGAAGAGATGCATGTAAGCATTTGTAGATGTGGGTTTCCTTTAAAACTGAGACATAGTGAGTGTTTTAATCCCCATTTGCAGATGGTGTCATTTAAATGACAGAACATCTGTCTTCCCACATCAGCTCCGCACAAAAACAGACGTTGTAGGCAGCTTTGCAAAAGCATCCTTCATTTATCATTTCACTGATATGCAATTCCTGGATGTTTTAAAGTCATCACATCTGACACAATTTCTTTGGCTGGGTGTAGCACGAGACAAGACTTATCACCAACGGATTAATATGCAGAGTATGAAAATGTTAGGTATTTTATGGTTCCTGCTGATATAAATCAATATGCAGGGAACAAATAATATGATTAACCATATTCAAAGTAGAAGTGTTCAATCCTCTCTGTTGAGGACTTGAATTTCAGGAGATTTGAGCTTTTTACTTTTCACCTCTTAAAACTCACATCTCCTTGATTCCTCCTTCTTTTTTCCTTCTGAAGAATCACAACTGCAATAAACCAACATGAAAACTTCCAGCCACACACGCGTGCAACTTTTGTCAGTATGAACACATCGTTTCTTGCCCTCTTTGATGATCCTGGAAACAAACCGAAGCGACTGATCTCGCGTCCTTCCACGGAGGCGCAGAGGCAGGAACCAAACGGGTTTAATTTATCTGACGGCTCTGAACTCCCTCAAACCCTCTCAGTTTTTACCTGTCATGAAATCAGTGTCGCTGTGATAGCTCTCCTTCAGCGAAGGCGTCCTCAGCAGGACCTGGGCCGTCTCCTCCATCTGCAGGTTGTGGTCGTCAAGCTCCTCCATGCTGGCGTCCTCTTCTGCTATGATTGCCTGCATGTCCCTGACTGAGGATGCAAGATTATTTTGATCTGAACTTGCCTGGAGAGTTGATTCACCTTCCCCAGTCCAGCAGTGGTTCCCACCTCCTGCTTCCCCCCTCTCCTCAATGTCACCTAATATCCTGTAAGGAGTATGAGCACAGGGTGATGTCACTCAAAGGACAGATTAAAGACCTGCTAATCCACCTGAAGCTCAAAGGGAGGATAGGAGTGTGCAAGAGTCTTTATTTTATTAGTAGGTGGAAAATGCTGGTGGGAATGACAAAACAAACTCTCCCATCAAGAGTTCCAGCTGCAAACACACAACCGCTGTGTCAAGGAGGCGCCGAAGGGTCCTGACCTCCGTCCTGAAGAACGACATTCTTCTGACGGAAAAATGAAACGTGTCAGAGTGAGGCTGGAGAATCTGCTGTTGCATGCAAAGTTTCTGACAAGCACAAAGTCACACACTCCCCCAAAAAGAGCTTACACAAGGCCACCATCCGGCGTGGTCAGCCTGGGCCTACTGTAAGGATGACGAGATCCAGAGATTAGGGAGCAGAATTTGATTAATTACAGTCATCAGGAGGACAATAAGCCGGATGTGGTAATTAGACTAACAGGGGAAAGAAACAGTGCAAGATGAAAAGCTAGATAGGCGATTAGGTTTGCCCCCCACCCTGGTGTGAGATAGGTTTGGGGTTTTTTTGTGTCTATTTTGCAGTTTATTGGATTGATTCTTTCTCCAGCAGATGTGTCCGTTTGCTGATGCGTCAAGGCTTTTCGGTCTCCCGGAGTCAGTCGAAAGTCATAAGAACGAATGAGAAACTTTAAACAAGAAACAAACACGTTCATCTATTGAGTATAATCCAATAAAGTCTTTGCGTCCTAACAAGCTCACGTTTTCTCATCCACTGTGATGAATATCCGTTCTCCCCAGTCATCATTTCTCATCATCAGACTTCCTGTTAAGTCAGCTTGCAATCTGTGGTGACAGAAAACGGTTTCATCGGGAAATATTCTGACAGCACGAGCTTCCCATTTTGACAGAGTCAGACGATGGCTTACAGTTTTACCATTCTGCTTTCAGTCTTCATATGAAGGATTTAACAGACCACTGTGACATAGTCAAAGCTTGGGATCTTGTTTCATTAACCCTTTAAATCTCTTCGCCTGTCTGCTGTGTTCCCTGATTTTCATTATTCTGAACTAATGTTCTCTGGGAAAAATAAAAAACCCTGGGATCTTCAAAGATCTTACGTTTTTACACGATTTTTGTGAAAACCATGTCTTTGTCGACTTCACAATGACTTCTTTCTTTTAGATATACCTTCATAAATGGCAACATAAGGGCCCAGACATTTTAGTCTGAACATAGAAACGTGTGTTTGGAGCCATCTCAGGTCAAAGGGTGTGTCTAGTTGTATTATTAAGTCTAATAAATTAACTGCTCAGGCTGTTCTTCCTGCTCGAAAACTTGGAGGTCAGGAGAGAATTTAACAGCCATCTGCTGCCAATGTCTCACTACTGCCCTCATGTGGACATGATCATTGTTACAGCTGATTGGAAGGAAACTTACCCACTTCCTGTTGATATTCACTCTGTGACCTTTGGTTCCCTTTTCTGTCTTCATCCACAGTCATGTTCCGATAATTACAAAGAGCAGATTTGCTTTTTCAAATAAAAGTAAACTGAATAAACTAAAAACAGGTACTAATTGATCTGATCTGCCAAGTTGGCTGTAGGTTAAACAACAAGCAACATGCAATGATTAAAACAAAACAAAAAAAAACAAAAAAAACCGCAGAGTCACCATTTTCACAAAGGACTTAAATTTTATAAATATTCTCTCAACATTACATTAAATCAGTTGGGATGATATAGTCTTTCAAATAAAATAAAATAAAAAAATCCAAGAAATCTTCAGAGAGCATGACAAAGTGACAGTGATCTGATACACATAACTCTTTCTACTCCAAAAATATCTAAACTGTATATCCCACATTTTCCAAATATATCAAAATATATGCCAACAATAAGCATCAATACAGGCCACAGAGAAAGCTGAATCTCACAGGTTTGTCGGGTGCTTTTGTCTAATGGAGTGAACACACACACACGCACACAAGCGGACGCACGCCCAAACACACACACGCACACACATCAGCGAAGGTTACTCAGTATTTCACATCATAGTTCGCTGAAACTTCTTATTCCCGAGTGCTCGCCCAACCTTGTTGCCATGGAAATAAGGACAAAAATGTCTCCATGCAAAAAGCCTGTGGCTGATTAGGTTATTGAATGACAGCAGGCTATCTAAGTCCATGCGTTTTGCAAGGCTGGCCAGCACTTGGGAGAGGAACACATGGCTGTCCGAGCTTTCCTCGGCTGCTTTTCCAAGAAGCGCCTGCATCTGGCCGGCGAACAGATAAGGGACGTTGGTGTGACAGAATCTGTAATCTTGCTTTGCCTGACCTCTATGAGGTCAGGCAAAGACATCTTTATGATTAATGATTAAGCTAGCATTAGCTTAAATGCTAATTCTCACCTAAAAGCTAAAGCTGACTTGCTGAGTGGACCGAGTTAATGCTAGCCATCCAGCTAGCGAAAGCCAGCGTGATAATGATATCATTTATGCTAACGTTAGCATAATGTTTCCTCTATCCACCAATTGACCTGAACAAGACAGAAAAGGGCAACCGTTTTGAAATACTGTCAGCCTACATCCAATAATACTTTCCATCTTTCGCAAGTGACCTCTAACCTTTTGCACCAGGGTTTCTGGTTTCAGCTTAGGACCTCAGAGGAACTTCCTGTCCCCCGTTTGTCTCATTTTGACTTCAGCTCGTCAATGAAAGCTTAGGTGACCCTTCTCCCAAACTACACGCCTGAAGGGATAGTTCAGGATCAACGCAGAGCGGGTTTGTTGAAGGTCGTAAGATATGAACCGCTTCTAACATTTACAGAACCTCAGTTAGAAAAAGTCCCGACCTGTCCCGTTAAGGTCGGTCCGGTTTCGGGAACCAAATGGAGGTCCTCCAGAGCGAAGGTGCTTTCGGCGAAAATTGCTCAGGTCTCAATGAAGCTAACCTATGGTTACGTTTCTGCTATTAAACCTCACTAAGCTTCTAAGATTACAAATAAACAAAAAACAAAAACAAAAAAAAAACAACTGCTTTCTATCCTGAAGCACAAATACACAGGATCTACATAATTAGTCCCAAATAACTTAAAACTGACATCTTAATATATTCAATCGTTTTCTCCATTTAAATATACTTTAAATATAATTATTACAGATCTTGGAAGGGAAAAAAATAATAATTTCTACACTGTGCATTGGCTGTCTGCTTGTTTAAAGATTGCCCCGTACTTGCTGGGGTTCAGATATGTTCTCCTTATATTTCTCTTTCGTTTGGTCAAACATCGACTCTACACCGACCTGATATCTACTGAAAAAAAAAGAAAAGAAAAGCAATGCATATAACTTTGTCAAGATTTCTTAAGTTCATTCTTCAAAAATAGTAATTCTAAAAAATATATTGCATGTGCCATCTTAGCAAATTGACATAATAAAATATTCTTTAGGAGGAGGAGAAATTGTAAAGTAAGGAGAATATATAGACTTATATCCATTTCCTTTTTGAAGACTCCAGCGGGGAAGAGAGGGGGACGTAGGGCTTGATTTAGTTTTGAGTCAGGACTGATGCGCTTCAACTAGAAAAGGGAGAGAGGAGATAAACATGGCTTCAGAGAGTGGGGATCTTTTACAGCTGGAACTTGAACGCACGCAGACGGGGAACAAAGTCGCAGGTTTGGAGGCGATGAGAGGGCGCGTGGTTTGTAATCGGCAAAAGCTTCATCTGAAAGCATGGATCACCCCATCCCTTCAGTCCAGTCACACATCTATCACAGTGCTACAATTGCCTGCACAGCAAGTCAGGTCTGAATCCCGAAGCCTTCTGCACATCTAGTCACATTAACAGTGTGGATACATACATAAATATATACTGAGTATTTATAGGACTATATGTGAGGGGAAAAAGAAAAAGGAATGACTCTAAATCCATACTGATTTCATCCAGTACGAAGAGCGTCAAGTTGCAACATGGCAAACATGTCGGTCGACTCGTCTCTGCTCATCAAAACGAACAGTTTGCACAATAATGTCTCCTTCGCAATAAAAACAGCAACGAATGCGGTACAGTAAGCCCCGCCGTTCACGTCCCGCCAACGTCTCAGCAGCTCCAATACGAAACAAAGAGGTGATCGTGTGTTTTCATGAGGGGATTGGTTTTAGTGCAACAAAACGTGGGGACAAGTGTTGACGACGAGACGGAGGTTTGGGGTGCTCATCCTCTGGTTCGTCCTGGACGAGTTGCAGGGGCTTAGGAATCAGGCGAGAGTTGGCGACATGAAAGCTGTCCTAAACATGGAGACTGGAAAGGAACTGAAATACAGCATGCTGCAAAAGTGTTCGCAAATTTTACGTCTCGTCACAACCACAAACTTGGATGTGCTTAACGCTGATTTTAAGTGGAAGACCAACACGCAGTAGAGCCAATTAAGTCAAATTTATCTCACAATCGAAATCTCAAAAGGTGACAATTTGTATTCACCGCCCTGCAACAAATTGCTTTCAGAACACAGCTGGTTGAACTGAAAGTTACCCAATCCACAAACGAAGGAAGGAAAAGTGACAAAAAAAAAAAAACAAAACAAAAAAAACATTAACAAACATTAAGGAGTAAGTGCTCTGGTTAGATTAATTTAAAATGAAGTTTTTTAGCTTGTTTCAAACAAGCTTTGTACTGAGAAAACCTAACACTGCACCATATTTACTGTTGAACACAGTAGTGGAAGCATCACATTAAGCAAAAACTATACATGCCAAAATATTTCATCTGATTTTAGTTCGTAAAAAAACAAAATTTACATCACGGCTTTTCTATCACGCGCAACTTTGTGTTGGTCTAACACATAAAAACCTGCATAAACATTAAAATTCACGGTTGTAACACAGGAACATGCTTAAGGGGAATGAATACTTTTGCGAGGTACTTTTTCTTCTTTCTGGTCTCTTATATTAAGTGCATAAAGTCAAAACATCGGTCGTCATGTGCAGCCTGACATCAGCGTGGTCTCGTCATTTACCTCAAATAAGCACAACGCGCTTCCTCTTCAGTCGGTCGATTAACAAACTCGACTGACTGCGATTTCGTTTCTCACCATATAAGTAATAATCATATGTTATCAGGAATACACGGTGATCTTTGCCCTCAAGCCCAATCAGTTGCTTGATGTGAAACTGTTTAATTCAGCACCAGGAAAAAAACAAAAACAAAAAAAAAAAAAAAAAAAAAAAAAACGCTCCACTTCATCTAAAGCTACTTTCTTACTTGGTTTGATTACCTAAAAGCCTCCTAAATGTCACTATATTTAACCTCAGTGATAACACTCAACACACAAACACACACACACACAAACATGATGTGTAGAGTCAAATCAGGGGAAAAAGGATGACACTCTCCATTAGCTGCTCTTTCACCCATGCTTGTCGAGCGGCGTTAACGCGAAGCTGACAGGGCCGGCCTCGCATTTCCCTGGAAGCGCCGGAGCGGCATGCCGGACCATCGCTGCACCGGCGGCTCTCAAACGGAACAAACATGATTGTTGCGTTGTTGCGCTAACGTGCTTCGGGGGGGGAGAGAGACACAGCTCTGACCGGCACGCCGCTCGACCAGGCGCTCGGCTTTTCTGGCAGGGAAGGCGAGGTGGGGAAAAATCTGAGCGGATGGATGGAGTTTAGCTCTCTGAGCTGAGATTCCCTACGACATTCTAACTTCTTGGTATGTAACTAAAGGGATCTGTGCTTCATAATGTGTACATGCAGTCACCCCGCTTTTCACACTGATCGCGAACGGGGGGTTAGGTGGAGGTCTTCAGTCCTTCAGTTGCCCCTCCTCTCCGAAGGCGGACGATTGCAACGACTGATTCAAAGGTGCGACGACGGGGGAGAAGAGACGGGGGGGGAGGCTCCCGCTCTACTGCAGGTTCTTCAAGATGCGTCCGTATCGGAAGTCGTAGACGTGCCGGCAGAGGTACACCAGCTCGGGGTCGACGTCCGTGGGCACGCAGCGGTGGGAGGGAGGGGCGAAGTCAGGCCGGAAGGGCACCATGCTGGCCCTGCCAGGCGGGGCGCCTTCGGCACGCCGCTTCACCAAGGCACAAAATCTGCAAACGAAACGGTGAGACGAGACGACGTGAAAGCAAATCTGTGAGAGAGACCCCAAGATTCGACGTGGAACAAATGACTCGAGAGTTTTTTTGTTTTGTTTTGTTTTGTTTTGTTTTTTTCACTTACCGACAGTACTGGGCTAGAGGGAGAACGTAGCATCTGTCTTCTATGCAGGCCACACTATTTTCATCCTGATGCCGAGAGGCGAAAATCTCATTCTGAAACCAACAGTGGGTGTTCAGCGTCACATCACCACAAGTGTTTTTTTTTATTTTTATTGCTGTGCCCCGAAAGACGACACGAGAAACTGCAACACTTTGCATCAGTGAGCACTAAGGAAACTACAACTGTTCATGAGAGATTTGTTGGGGTGTCTCTTTGTTTTACCATGCTAGAAAAAAACAAAAAACAAAAAAAAACAAAAAATAAAAAACAACAAAAAAAAAACGCTCTAGTGAGCTCACACTGCCGCTGACTTTCACTGGAAACATTTTCAGAGAGTGAAACCGTTCCTCTCCTTGTTCTAGGGTTTCTGCAAGGCTGAGGTCGAAGAGATACCATCGTTTTTTTTTTTGTGGCAGTGTGGTTAAGCTGAGGAACCAAACAACTATCGACAGTCTCAGGGCTGCCGAGACAAAGATAATGAAGTCTCCAGCAGCAGCCACTGTCCACGCTATTGTGTGTAAACAACATTCCCCCTCCATATCGCTGCTACTTGTAAAATGTATATTGATACACACTTTAAAAAAAACATGTACTGCATTAAGCTCATCCTGTAACAATAGATGTATTTGTGGTACAGAACAGGTTGCGCAGCCGTCGCCGTCCCACTGGGAGAAATTAATTCCTAGCTGCAGTCTGCCGAACGCCTCACCTCACAGTGTGCTCTGGGATCTCGGCCTCCCTGGGTGTGCTCAGGTCTGTAGTACCAGAAAAGGCTCATCATCAGCTCTCCTGAGGAAGACCAACACAAACACACACACGTCAGCTGAACACACTCTGCCGTACATTCTCGCACAGGACCGATCGAACCGGTCGGTCATCTCCATCTTTGTCCGTCAGATTAACCTCTTTACATATGTGACACAGTCAGCTGATCTAAATTAAGATATATGAAAATTTAAATGTATTCACTTTTTGTGGTTTAGAGTTTTTTAGTTACATTTTTCAAAGTGTATGAGAGTAAATGAAGGGAATTTGGTGGAACATCAAGACCAGGCAAGTCTTCTGAATAGTGCAGGTGTGCTGGGATGCAGGATGTGGAGTTCAGTGTTCAGCTGCATCAAAACTCGGTTCAGTTTCTGGTTGTATATGTTTATGTGAGTTGTTCTTTTTGGCTCATGGCCTTTATTTTTTTTATCCACCGCAGCGTCCTGACATTGTTGTTCTGATTAGAATACAAATTTATGGATAACCTGCACCCTGACTTCTTACCCGTTTTGGGGTCCTCCCACAATGCTGATATCTTGGCAACATACGGCAGGGACTTCTTCCTGGGACCGGATCGCAGCAGTACGGTGTCTCTGACATGGATCACTTCGCCGTCCCTCTCGACTCCCTCGTAACACCTCCGCATTGCGGCCTCGTCTTCTCCCTGGCATTACAAACACGCAAAGTTTACAAACGAGGAAGAAAGCGGGAAGATTTACAAACTTTTCTCCCGAGAGACAAGCAACCTACCGCAATGAAGACCTCCCTCTCTGTGGGGATGCCAACAGGCCGCCAGCCGTTTGTTGCACGTCTGCGGCTGATCTTCTTCTGCTTGCTGCTGCCGAGGCTTGGCACCGGGGTCGCCTGTTTCGTCAGGAGCCGGGTGTGGCCCACGGAGGAGCCGTTGGAGGCCTTTGTGCTCTGAGGGCATTCCTTAGCTAGCTTTAACATGGCCTGGGGCTGATCTCGGCCAGACAGAGGGGTCAGCAGGCGGCTTTTAGTCTGTGTGGAAGTGGGCACGCTGGACAGTGGACACTGGGCGATTGGCATGGTGGGGGGAACAAGAAGGGAAGGGCTGTGGTCGCCCTGTGGGGTTGTGTAAGCCTCTGGAAAACAGCATGGAAGCACACATTTATCATCCGTCCAAGTGCTTTTTAATTTCACCTCAGAGTTTTATAGTACAGACTTAGCTGGTCTGGTATGATCCTAACTCAGACAATGTTAGCAAGAATAACTAACACAGAACCCAGATTAACCTAGAAATCATCAACCATGTTGGGTCTTGTCTGAAACCATTTATAGTACCACAGAAACTATCTGCCCCATCACAGATTTCTCCTATGTTTTGGCTCAATTGTTTGACTTTTGTATTTGCTCAGATTATTTATGTTATAATTTTGTTCAATGAGCTGAAACTTTTATGTCCGTGTGAAACTGATAATTTCCCAAATCTACCTGGTCAAGGTTTCCTCCAGAAAACTTGCTAATGCCGGTGGTTGGGCGCTTGGCAGTCAGTCATCCAGCGGCCCGTCGTGTTTGAGTTAAAAAATGTTTAAAGTTGACAGGAAATTTGAAAATATCACTTGATAATTATGTGTTATTGAAAGACTGGAAGATTAATACCTGAACACCAACTAGAAAGCTTTAAAAAATGCAAACATTTTAAAAAGACTTGCATAAATCAGTAATGCTAAGCCTGGTGGGGGCACAAGTAAAGCCTGGTGGCCCGCCAGGCTTATAATACACTGGGGGAAACCCTGCTGGACCTATGTGGGAACATAATTACCCATATTGTTACATCATGATAATTTGTGATTAGCCAAATTTGTTGTGTTGCTTACCAACAGGCCTTTAGATAAAAAGGTAACACTTTATTTGATGGGATGTGCATAAGACTGACATGATTCGTTCATAAATGTGACATAACATCTGTCATGAAGGTGAAAAGTTTTCATGAAGTGTCATTCAGTAATGACACTTTTAATGCAAAGTTGACCATTTTAATGGACTTTTAATACAAGTTTGTATTAATAGTGCCATTATTTACTGGTTTAAAACGACCTAGTCAAAGTCATTGCTGCAATAGACTTAAACAGGCGATTTATGCTTGAAATCTCTTCGATGTGACTGAACTGAAACAGTTCTGGATTCAAGGACTGAGAGTAAATCCCAAAAGTCATGTAAAATTTTCACTGCCAGCTGTTGCCGTTGTTAGGCGTAGTGGGCAGATTGTTCTAGAAAACGTTTTCCCCTTAACTAATGAAATAATAATTGGAAACCTAGTTCTCGCATTTCGAATGTGATCTCCTTGAAGCATTTAAGAGTAACAAAAAAAACAAAGGTGGTAATCTTTCGTCATACTGTGTACATATTGGCAAAGTGTCATAAAATCACAGTGAATGTTCTTAAGAGATACGCAGATTCAATCTGCATAGTTTTACTTGCAGCTAAAGATAGTTTTAAGAAGGCACTGACTTCTACTTTATGACAAATAAAGCTGTTTTAATGCATTTTTTTTATCCCTGAGCAGCTGAATTGGTTCAACCAATAAAACAAAGCAATCAGTTCTGACACAAGCTCCGATAAAGACAACCTGCTGTCCAACATCATCAGCTAACAGGAGCACAGCCGTGAATTTGCTCAAGGCTCGACTTCCAACACAAACACGGCCAGTTGAAAGCATCTACAAAAAGGCTGCTTTAGTTTTGAAGTGTGCTAAGATCACATCTTGATTTATTTGGTCGAAAAAAAAAAAAAAACCCAACCTGAGAGATTTAAAGAGAGCTTTTTATTACAAGACGTGGTGGAAAAAAACATGGAAGATTTTGCCACCAAGACGGAAGACTTGCAATCATTTTGGGCTCTTATCAACATTTCTTCCATCCATTTAATTTGATTTTCATCCATTAGAGATTTCCTGTCAGATTATTTTGAAGATGTTAAAAAAACAAAAAACAAAAAAACACTAGTATTGGGTTTAAATTTAAATTTATTGTAAGTCTGAAAATTAGACATACAACTTTAAATATATGCCCAACTATTCACTCCCCTCTTTTTTAACTGGCTTGTTAACTTCTCCTCATTGACCACAACTAACAGCAGCTTTCCTTATTTTATAGTGAACAATGTGGTCATGGTCAGAGAGGCGCAGTAGACAAAAAAAAAACAAAAACAAAAGCTAAAAAGCTAAAAAGCTGCCAACGTTTAAAGAAAAACCTAGAAGGACTTTCAGGGACCCTGGAGAATTATGGAGTAAGATCACTTACTTCGTCTTAAAAACAGAAAGCTAAGACCAAACACATAATAACAAGATATTACCTCTTTATCATACCAGCTTTATTATACTTTCCCTGTTTTTTTTTGTTTTACTGCAGTGCCTTTTTCTGGCACTTAACATATAATACAATAAGATATGGAAATATGGACGTTAAAACTTGGGACCATATTGGGCTTCCAAACTGTCAAGACCATAAGCACGCCGACAAATTAGCTATAAAAGTCAATCTTTTATAGCGGCCATCACAAAGCCCTGAATGTTGTGAGCAGAGCCGAGACTGGCTCGGTGAGCTACAGGGCCGATAATCAGACTCAATCACAGCCATTCTGTCAAGAGGACCGGGCCAGAATTTCGGTAAACTAATACGAGACGCTTGTGAAACCAAAACATTTTCATTCAAGGCAATTGTAATACATCTTAACTTCTAAATTTAAGAAAAATTCAGTAAAAGTCTAATAAATTCTGGTCATTCTAATTGGATAAAGCAGGAAAAGTTTAGTTTACTTTAATGTCACCAATTGCAGTTTTCTGGTCTTTGATCTTTTAAAAGCTTGACATGCTAATCCAAATTTCGCCTGAAAAGTCGTTAAGTATTTTGTTAAGTAAATATTAAGTAAATTTGGCAACAGTGGGGTGACTATTGTTAACCTGGTGAGTGTGTCAGTCAGGCCTTTCTCATTGCAGACTAAAAGGGCTGATAAGATCAGTGGACAAGATCGGTTTCACAATTAAGTATTGGCCGATCGCCAACTATCCAAAACTAAGAAAACCGAGCTGATTTATTGGTTTTCATTTTTCCACTCACCCGTCTTGATGCTGTGCGTACATCCGGTACATCCTGCACTAAAAGAACAACCCCTGCCTGTCACTGGAGGCAGCGCTCTGTAGCTGTAGCCACTGATCCCGCAGGCGTCTCCGTAACAGGGGGAAGCCACAGAGTTGCAGTAGGCGGGGTGGCCTAAGCCGGACGGATGTGACACCTGACCCCCCAGCAGCTTGGATCCGGTAATGCGACTGGGGCACAAGCCGGTGGAGCTGAAGTTGAGAGGCCGCGTGGCCAGAGCTGCTGAAGTCTGTCCAGTGTGCGTTGGGTGGGTGATGTGGACGTAGTACCCGGGGAAGCAGTGGTCAGCGGTGCAGAGGCATGGGTGGGGGGTAAGGGCGAGTGCTCGGTGTGGGTGGGAATGTGTGAGAGACGGCGAGGTTACTAGGCACTCTGGTTTCACGGGGGTCATGGCTGAGTTCAGAGACTGGTCATCGGAGTCTCCGTACGGCTGCTGGCCGAGGAAGCAGGCCAAGCGGTGGCAGTACTCCACAGAACCCTCTGGGGGACAGCAGTAGTATGGGCTCAGTTCGGTTTCCAGTTGCTCCTCCTTCACCTGCTTCAGCGGGAAACCTAGCATGCTACGAGACTGATACCCTGGTTTGGTCAGGCGGTGGGTGCAGCTGCCCGTCTCCCACTCCACCTTGGGTTCAAAGTCTGCTTTCTTCTTGCAGGCAGAGCAACTGCTGGGCGGCGGAGGGGGCTTCTTGCCTTTCTTGTGTAAGTGGTGCTTGTTTTGGAGTTTGACGCTGTGTTGCTGCTTTGGGGTGGAGGCCGCGGCAGGAGCCGTAGAGTTGGACGTAACGGTTGCGGTGGGTGCTGCCTTTACTCTCTGCTTACTGGTGGCTGAGGAGCTTGTTAACTTCAGCAGGGCTGCAGCATTGAGTCCAGCTAGTCGTCTTGGTGCAGGTGCGTCTAAACACTCCTGACTCATCCAGACTCTTTCATCGCCTCGGCTGGTTTTAGCCTTCTTGCTCGGCTTAGGACTTTGGCACTGTTCAACCTTGTTGGGTGGAGAGACTTTACTAATGTTCCCTCGTGAAGCTTTCAGACTTCCAGACAAAGAACTTCTGGCTGGATCCAGAGAAGCTGTTCCGTCCAGAGGATCCTCCTGCCTCCTGGCCTGCTTGGCCGCTGGTTGGGCGTCGGTGGGTCTTTCAAGCAGTAAACTATTCACTGCCTCTGCATTGAGAGACGCCAGTCTGCGCTTGCGGGGCTGTAGATCTCTCAGCTCAGGATAGACAGCAAGACGTTTGTGTTTTGATTTTAGTTTGGCTTTTGGTAGTGACTTTGCCTTCATCCTGTCTCTGGTTTTTCCCGTTTGGGGTTTGGTTTTGGGCCTGTATTTTCCTCCTTTGCCTTTAGACCTGCCCTTTTCATGTGAGCCTTCTTCCAATCGGGTAAGGAGAACATGGCAGCTGAGCTCCTCCTCTGGATTCCCACCCCGACCACGCAGCGGGTACAACTTTCGGACCCGTTTCTTGTCCCGCCTTTGGTCAAGCTGTCTGGTCTTGTCCGACTTTCTTTTTCCGTCTCTCTTCTCATTCATCCTCTTGGGCTCTTGGTCTTTCCTTTGTCTTGTGACCCCACTTATCTTCTTTGTCCTGCCGAAACGTAAGGTACGCTCAGGCCAGTCGCCGCCCATGGTGCCACCATGAGGACAGGTGTGGCTGGTGTCCCACAAGTCAGAATTAGTGTGGTTCTGCCGGAGGGAAGCGGTCTGCCTTGCGTGGGTCATCACATGTTTCTCCAAAGTGCCTAAAGAAACGAAGCAGAGGTTAGGTTAAAACGTTTTGCACATACAACTGAACATTAGGCTTAGTTGCAGTTTTAAACATATCTTGAGAAGTTATTTTTCTTAAAGAGAAGACATAAAAGAGTTGAAGCAATAGAAAAATAATCAGTCAGAGACTGGACAGACAATTTTTCATATCATACAACTAGTTAAAGTAGTTGTTATTTTTCTCAGAAAAAAATACATCTCTGTTTTAGCTTTAAGCCACAATCATCAAAATAAAATAAAAAAAATCATTGAAATATATAATTGAATATCACCATGTGTAATGAGTTTATATATGGGTTGAAATACTGATTTTAATTGCTGGAATAAATTAAGTTTCAAAGGATTTTTTTAACTTTTTACAGTGCGTCTGTTTTACCGTGACTCCAAAAATATACAAAGCTAGGGGAAAGATCTGTCTTTATTTTATTGTGGCACAGAAAACAAAAGCAAAACAAAGCCCTTTCGTACAGTTTTATGTAAACAGCAGCAGCAAATGACTAAGTGCTTGAAGAGACCTGGTAAATTCTTCACCCCAATGATTTTTTGGACCTGACCGTATAGTGAGCTCCAGCTATTAAAATGTTTCTGATCCTGATTTGTATGCTTATGATGCAAAAGCTGACACACTCCCTTCTTATATTTAATTCGTTATCAGCCAGAATGCACACACAGCATGTAAAGCAACAGCTTGTGAAGACCAGTTGTTTAGTCTCAAATGTTTATGTTGATAAGTGATCAACCCCCCCAAAAAATAAATAAATAAAAATAAAAATCCTTCCTCAAATAATTTCTCTCAGTGGAGATAATTGAGACCAACAAACAAGCTGACTAAAAGCAAATTTAAATGGTTTCACATTTCTGGTGTCAACAATCAAAATAAATAACATCCACTAAAAACTTACAAAAGATATATTAAAAAAAACAGCTTCAATAACTAAGCAATGGATTTACAAGACAAATTATAAGAGACTTGATGAAAAACAGACAAATAATGCCCATTCATGAATCAATCCTTGAATATTGGGTAGAAGGTAAATTGAAGTCATAAAGTGGAGGTTGTAAAGGTTGGTTGCCTAGCAACCAAATGGGATGTTTTAAGACGAGTGAAAAGTGTTACAAAACCTGACGTTGTTGGTAATCTAATTTAATCAATACCTTCATTTCCTTTTTCATTTTGTTTAACGGCGTCGTTGTACAAAACACCTTCAGGTTAGCAGGCTCACCTATTTTATTCATCTTAAAGGGACAGTTCAGATTTTTCAAGGCAGCGTTCGGCAAGAGTCCAGCTGAAGACTGGTCAAATCTGCAAAATGTTGTCTTAGTCATTGAAAATTTTGATTAATTTATTTTACACAACCCTATGTTTACCCAGGAGTCTGTATGCTTAACATGTTTTATTTTCAGCATGAGGACGAACTCAATGTGACGCACACTGACGTACATTAAATCAGGAAAAAGACAACAAAAAAAATTATAAAATACAGCCATTAGTAGTTTTATTTTCTAGATACTAGCTAGCTAGCTAGTTAGTATGTAGCTACTGCACTTTTATAAAAGATTAACTTTTTCCATAGTATTCAGCTTTTTCACTGTTTTTATCAATTATGAACTGCTTCAGTTTAGGACTGAATGTGAACTGAACTATTCTGCACAAAACAGTGACTTTTTATAAGACCACATATAGAAACAATAAGACTATTATTATCCAGTTCAGCTAAAATTCATGTTTTGCCTGATGTGGTCTGTATAAAAAAAATATAGCACCGAAATGACCGTTTTTGTTTTTTCACAAGAATAAAGAAGAATCCACCTCAGATTTTACTTCTCTTAACCATTTTAGATTTTGAATTAGAATTAGAAGAACTGTATTTCTTATTTTAAATTACTGAGATTTTATACAATATTGTTGATACTGAAGCCTGGAAAAATTAGGTAAAACATGTAACCTCTACCGAAAACAGAAAGCTTGCTCACATGAAGTAGAAACAAATTAAATATTGTTGAACAATTGACTAATCTTAAACATATTGATAGATGGGTTACTTGAGTACATATTAGACCTCAGCTGCTTTAAATTTTTAATTTCGGGTGACTGAAATCATTCCTAGGGTTGCCTGGAGTAGAGCTACTCTACAAATCTTACCTCCACAGAATCTTATGTTAAAAAACCCAAACATTTATTTTAAAACCAAACCAAACCAAACCAAACCAGTGTTACTTCAGCCAGTTAAATCCACACATCTACAAGACTGTCACCAAAGTTCAGCACCTAAAGCTAAAAACCATAAAGGACGTCTGGGATATGAAGCAATCAAAAAAATTATGGCAGCCTGATATTCTTCTCATTTTCATTCAGTTGTCTTCGCTCTAGAGGGCAATTACAAAAACTGAAATCCGTCCCCTTCCAGTGACAAAGCAGAAATTGAGACAAATCTGCCAGTAAATGAATTTAAAGAGCTTGTCTTGTTTTCCACACGCAGCACTGGAACAGGATTTCATGCTCCGTTGTTCCGAACCCCGACGCCACATTTATTGCCTCTATTTGAAAAGCTTAATTTGAGCCGTGCAAGGTCCGACTCTTATTAAAAGGCCCATCTGCTCTGTGTTATGGTAAAAAGCAGTAGTGGGTGGAGATAGCAGAAAACCAACTGGTTAGTAGGTGCTTTTAATATCTTGAGGAGAGAAATTTCCAACAGCAGAATGAAGAAAAAGCTTTCAGAGAGTTGGTGTGTGAAAGACTGATGTGCTTTAAGGAAACAGTCACTTACACACACAGCTGTCAAACAGCAGCACGGCTTGTTTTCACAGCTCTGTGTGACCTTAACTCTTGTAACGCCACGAGAGAAGCTATATTTTAAAATACCTTCCAGAAACATTCATTCCTCTTCAACCATTCAATTACACTGACTGGGGTTTGATATGACAGAATAGCACATAATTGTGAAATAGATAGAAAATTATTCATTTGGAAATCTGTAAAGTGCGGCGTGTAAATATATTCAGCCCTGAGTAATTATTCAGCTGCGGTTAGAGCTGCAGGTCTCCCGCAGTACGACTCTTTTGGCTTCTTTTTGCAGAGTCCTGCCACCGATTCTCTACTGGAATATGGTCTGGACTTTGACTAGGCCTTTCTAACAGATGAATAAGCTTTGATCTAAACTACTCTGATGTAACTCTGGCAGTTTGCTAAGGTTTGTGGACCAGCTGGATGGTGAACCTCGATGTCAGTCTCAAGTCTTTGGCAGCCGCTAACAGATTTTCTGTAGCTGGACGATAAGACTGATAATAGTTTCATATCAGATGATATCAATAATCATTGATTAGTTTTTTTTGTTTTTTAATAACTGAAATGCTGCAAAAGCTGGCTACGTGATTTTTTTCTCCTAGTTTTATCCAGTCTCTTCTGGAGCTGCTGTATTAATTTTCTCACTTCACTCCACGTTATTCATTTTATTTAATTTTTTTTTTTTTTTTGAGAAATTAAGACGTAAAACCTGAAGCAAGTTACTCAATAGGTTGTTGCTAGGTAACCAAAGAGCAAGTGAGTTAATTGCCACCAACCTTGCATAGCTGACCAGGAGAGGTTGAGTGGCTAAAGCCTTTCCTCTGCCTACATCCCCCAGAATGCTGTGCAGTTCTGGATCAGCATTCACTGAAATCATAAATTGATATTGATCACATGTTTATCATGATTTACATTGTTATTGATTTATTGCCCAACCCTAAACTCCCCATCTATGGCTTCATTCATCTGTCTTTTTCCACTGTGGAAAAGTTCATCCATACAGAATGATGCTGCCACTACCATGTTTTGGCTTTGAGGGGCTTTTTGCATGAAGCCCAAAAGGTTTGACTTTAATTTAACATGACCAGAGCGTCTTCCTCGTGTTTCACCACTTAAAACCTCAACGAAACACATCTAACGTAGAGACTGTAACATAATTGTTTAAAAAACTCAACTAGTGTCACTTCTTTTTAATTGTACTGCATATTGACATTGAAAATAATTTTTAAAAATGATTTTATGCAAATATCAACTGTAATCGGAATAGCACCTTCCACTGGACTTTTGCAGACCTTTTACCAGTCCATAAGACACTTGCAGCTTTTTGAACCACAAGCAAAAACTTTCTACATGATAAAAATGTACCTTTGTTCTACTTTCTCCTGACTAATTATCTTTTTTTCCCCAACTTACAAGAACTTTTTGTCCTATGTCATTATGTTCCATAATTAGTCTCAATAAGATAATGAAATCCTCCCCCATACGGGCAATTGACATGCATTTTTATCCTCACGCTCGTCTCAGTTCCCCTCTTGTTCGAAATGTGAGCAGATACAAACGCTGGCATTAAAATTTGCTTAAATGAGCTTTAGATCACACTCCCGTTAAGAACTGAAGAGAATCGTGAAGAGGATTTCATTATGTTTCAGGAATTTCATCTGCGGCGGAGCAGGCCGAACGCTGCTGACTGCTCAAAGTTCACAGTGGGTCCAGATTTGTCTGCAGTGTAAACACATTACAGGCTAACAACTCCAGCTGAAATGACGGCTCTTTACTAGTCGAGCGCTGGCAGGACGACTCAGACATGTTGGATTCTGTCCGCCCCAATCTGATCGGGCTTGTGCAGCCTGAACAAGAAAGATGAGTCCGGCGTAAATGTGCAAAGCGAGCAAAAAGCGAGGTGAACATTTGGCTGCGGGGCTTCAGAACCAGGTTGTTTCGGAGGGTTTGAAACTGAACCGGTGAGATTCCAGACCGTCTGCATGGTGCCCCACCTTACTAAATATTTACAAAACCAAAACGGCTTCAGGAAATGATGCCCTCGCAATCTCCTCACAAAGCTTTTCTTTTGAGTGTTTATGAGTTGAAACAAAAAAACAAACAGGTAGTGTACAGATTTAAGCATTTTTGTAGCAATGACATTTTTACCTCTTGGCCAAGATGTGGAAAAAGTATTCACACCTCATGGGATCTTGAGTGGTTTTGTTATAAAAATTGAAAGTATTTCAACACACAAAGTAGCACATTAACATGAAGTACAAGGAATAGAGTATGCCAACTTTAAAACTGAAGTTGTTGCAGCTCATTAGGAAAATCTGTTGACAAGACAATTACTAGATGTGCTCTCGTAAAACCTGGTCTTTATGAAAGAGTGGGAAAAAGAAAGTTGTTGGGGGGCCGGAGGGGAGAACCCCATCAGAAATCTGATTTGCAGTTTCCTACAAGCCATAGGAGAAGCGGAAGTTGAGTCCAATGGCCTTGTATCCTGCATGCAAAACAGGATGAGTAAGAAAACAAACGCTGCGCAACACGCTGAGCGTTCCACAGTGAACCACGGTGGTGGGAGCATCATTCTGAGGGGTCCATTTTCTTCAGCAGAGGGAAGACAGTAAAATTAATTCAGTTTATAAGCGAGCAAGGTTACCTGGCTTCTTTAAGAAGGTAGTGCTAAGAAATCATGTGTTTGAAAGGCCTAGTCAAAGTTTTAAGACCTGAAAGCGCTAACCCTTTTAGGACACCAGACACGTAATGTGTGACTTGTGTCAATAAACTACATGCTGTAACTGAACTTATTCAGATTTTCATCTTTATTGATTCTCTCACTGAACAAATGTGGGAGAAAAAAAGTAAAACTAACAATCCCAACAATATGGACAGCTTGTTTTTTGATTTATTTTTTTTACATTATTAACTGGAATTTATTGTGACAATGATAAATCTAAGTTTGTATAAGACATTTATCATGATAAACAATATAATTAATACCCACGTCTGTTTACACTACTTTGTGTTGCTTTTTCCACATAAAATCCCAACAACCTGCCTTGAGGTTTGTTGTAAGATGACAAAAAAGTGAAATTATGAGAGAGAGTAAACATTTCTGTAAGGCTCTCTAGTGGTGTGAACCTTGTGGGCTGAAAGTGACAATCAGGTCTCAAAAGACATTTTTTAAGATGCATTTAATTTTCTTTTTCTTGTAAAAATTAATTAAATAACCTGCCAGATAAATGACTCTCAGGACCCGAACAATCAATGCCCCATCAACTTCTGCTATTTCTGAGAGCCTCTCGCATATCAGTCAATCATCAATCTCCAGTGTGAGCTCGGCCCAATCAATCACTCTGTTTTTACACAGCGATCCGCCGTCCAGCAGAGCCAATCAGGATTCATATGCAGCTTAATATTTCATGCTACATCCTCCACCCCCTGCATGGCATTTTCTCTTGTGTGGAGGCTCTCTGACCAAAATGCAATTTAGTTCTTTAAACACAGTTGGGCCTGGTGATCCTCAGGAAGTAATTTCCCTTTTATGGGAAGATCAATGACCCTGTGCTCTGTCTCTAATTGGTTAGAAAGCGGAGCATTAGATGCTCTCAGGGCATCAAACAGCAGACACACCAGGACTCCTCTGCTGTGCTCAACGCAGTTTCTCAAGACTCCACTTGAGATCTAATGGCCTCGACGATAAATGGACACTCTGTTCGGAAAACACGCCGATTTCTGATTATTGCAATCATAATGAAAGCCGGCAACTGCTAGAAATTGACCTTGTGCTTCAGAATTGAAACAGAAAGTAACGTGACGGGACGCCAACTGCGCATGAAATGTGATAACATTAGTTCAAGGCGTTATCTCAGAGGGTCTGAGGACACAACTAAAAAGAATCATAACACGACTTCCACAGGCAGAGATGAAAACGATGCAGCAGAATCCCAACCCACTTTTCATTATGGACCATTATTAACTGTACATCTTTTTATCGTTTTATTGTAACATCTACAGTTTATCTGGTACATTCAGAGAATCCATGAATATTTCACGAAGGACAGCACAATATAACGTCATTAATAAATAAGCATGTGGTATTTATATGTGGGTTTCATCACAGATTCGCAGTTATGTTCGGACAGATTGGGAGGTCCAGATTTAATCTTAGTAAAGACCGACTAAGAAATAAAAACAACTAGGAAATTTGCATATCATGGGGCACAATTACTATAAACTACAAGCATTTCATTTTAACAGCGTAAGGTGTTCTGATCATAAGTTAAAAACATGTTAGAAATAATTATGATTAAGTATTTAGTATATTTTTCAGACATAAAAATCATGTTTTAACTTCTTTCTTGCAGCCTGTGATTGACTACAACAGAGTGGGTACTTTAGAGATTTTTCTAATGTCATAAAGTATGTCCCATGTGATGAAATAACAGCCACAAGTAAAACAAAATGTGTAAAAAAAAAAAAAATACTAAGTGAATTTCTAGAGATAAAAATCTTACCAAGGCCTTCTGGTTTTACTGTTAATCCTTATCTTTGCTGTTCCACAAGAACCATCTTAGGGATTCTTAAACAAGCTGTCGACATTTTTTTGTTCCATTTTTAATATCATAAAGTAACAAGTGGGCAGATAAAAGTGATTAAAATGCAGCCAACAACCGACACGTTTACAAAAGCTTTCCAAAGTTATCCAACTCATTCGGCTTAGTTCTAGAGAGCTGCATAAAGCAGGGAGAAATGGTTTGCAAAACAAGTGATTCGGGAGGTAAATCTGAACACAAAATATTAGCATTTTCTGAAAATAATAGAAATTTGTTTTAAAATGTTGCAGAATATTTAAAAAATAGCCAGAATGGAAGAGCTTTGGTATGGTTTTGTCAATTAACGTCACATATAAGTAGGTTTAAACAAAAGATACAAGGTTTCCCCCAGAAAACTTGCTAAGCCTGGTGGTGTTTTAAATTTTTTTTTAAAGTTGACATAAAATTTGAAAATATCAGTTGATAGTTATGCGTTATTGAAAGATTAATACCTGAACACCAACTATAAAGTCTTAAAAATGCAAACATTTTAAAAGACTTAAATAAATAAGTAATAGTAAGCCAGGTGGGAGCACAAGTAAAGCCTGGAGGCCCGCCAGGCTTATAATACACTGGGGGAAACTCTGGGATAGATACAATGAAACCACAGGAACATGGTCGAGGTTGTTTATGTTTAGCAATTCTCTCTTAGCAATTCTGTGCTAACATTTGATAATAAAAATCAACTTAAATCACTTTGTTGATGAAAAGACAAAGTGTATGAGTTATCTCCCAGCTATCACTAAAGTCTGTTATTTGGGAAAATTATAGTTGCTTGTTCTGCTATATTGATGATTAGGGTTGGAAATCGATAAACACAGAATTAATCTACTTTCCTGGCTGTCTCAGTCCCTACACACACAAAAAAAGTAATTATAAAGTTGGATTTTTCTACATTTGTAACTGCGACATTGTCCTTTTATAATGAAATAGTTATTTTAAGCACTTTTACCCATCTGTTCAAGAAGCTCCAATAAATGGTGCTTGAACTATTTTCCTCCAATATTGTGAGTAAAAGCGGTCCCTCTGCATCTCCATCTTGTTTGAAACTCCAAAGCTTGGAGTTTATCTGATGCGGGTTACTTCAAGACAAACGCCGTCAGACGTTCAAAAGACGATGCTTCAAAACGCTCTGTGATCCGATGATGAGATCTGAAGCCAAACGCCGGCGGCGCGTCAACCATCCCGTCTCCTCATTCAGGTCGGATTGCATTCAGCGAATTAAGAGAAAGTGATGGACATCTGGGCTCCACATCTGTCCAATATTGATTTGAGAGTCACCCCCGC